TGTATAAATGGCTCTCTACTTTCAATGTTTATCATGTTCACTCATGTTGTTTTTTTCAACTAATTATTCTTTTCCTAACTGCAGCGATGTATAAACAGACTTTATATATCATTTTTCACAAAAATATTCACAATCGATATTTCGAATTTTGACCCGCTAGATTACCTGGAGGAGCCCACTGTGTGCTGGTCTATCATATTGCTGATTAATAGGAAAAAATTTTATTATTGTGGGTATTTTTATTTTTTTAAGCATAGGTACAAATATTTTTAGCATGCATAAAAATTTTAATTTTCATACAGTCATAATTCAAATACGTATTTTTTTTCTAATACCCTGGAAGGACATTGGCAATATCTTTCATTTATACTCTGTTATAGAATTTTATTATTTTTAAATACTCAATTTTTTTTCATCTGTATTTATTTCCTTGTTGTTTTGTTTTATGATTTGTGCCATATCCATTTTTTTCCCTAACGCTTTCATACATAGGGTAGTCTTGAATGGTGAGTTGGGCTGTTTTTTGAGCTTTACAATTTTAGTAGGTTGGTGGGTCTTGTTCTCTAGACATGTGAACCTCAAAATGTTCAATCCTCAAACTACAGAGGGCTGTTTCTTTTTTCCTGGAGGATCTGTGCCAAGTTTCTCATTTCGAAAAGTTGGTTTTTATTTCCATTAATTTGGACTCTTTTTACTCCCAATTATTTTGCTACATTTTCCACACATCCTTCTTAATTTTTTTTATGCACTCCACTAAAGAGATTTCATTAATTGATGCCTCCGAAGTTGTTCCTGGTTTTCTTGGCTACTTAGTCAGCTTGTTGATATTCAGTGATCCCGCAATGCGAAAGGGACTATTCCCTTGCCCTTCTTCCTTTGTAGTCACCAAAATTATTATATTTATACTTCTTATTGCGTTCAATTTTATAATTTTTTGCTCTAGTATTTTTAATGTCTAGTAATGTACTCATCTAATCCATCACCACGGCCCAATAAGGGGTTTCAATTGCCTCTATTTACTTAAGAGCTTCTCTCATCGCTTCCATTTCACCACTAAAAATTGAGCAGCCCTTAGGGAGTTTAATTTTCTAATTTAAAATTTAGAACCGAGAATCCTACTTACTTTTCTACTTTTGAAGCATCCGTTCAAATTAATCAATCAGAAATTAAACAAATAATATAATTACTACTGAGCAAACATTAGAGCCACATTTTACAGCAATGACCTTTTTATCTATCACTAACTAGTTCGGGACTTATACCTACATAAAGTTAGTGTTAGGTTTCATGAAATCAAACGATTTATTTAAAAAAAGTAAATCTCTTAATAATTTAATCCATAGATAAACAAAATTAATTTGTAGGCGGTGATGACATGATGATGTTTTACGCCTTAAACCCCAACAAACAAACAAACTGTTCAGAAGCAATCGTATCCTCTCGGTCATAGGCGCAGACTATGCGGAGGGGGAGAGGACGATCGTCAAAATTTTTATTGAGGGAGCGGGAATATCGTTCCACCTTCCCCCCCAATAATTTGAAATAAAAAAAATTAAAATCAATGTCGTAAACAAGGTAACTGAATGAATAAAATGTGTGAACTAAACTCGATTTAAAAAAATCGACTGGCTGCCTAGGCTAGAGCCTTGTAGTAGGTATGTAACTATTTTATTGTTGTCTTAATGCTACTTTTATTTAAATTGTCATTTGTATTCAAAGATAATGATAAATTGGTAGTCAAAAACGCCGCTACACCTTCAATTTGACATAAAACCGTATATTAAAGAAATATTTTTGAGCCTGTAGTAATAACAGGTATATAACTGGTCAATGGGGATTTTATGGTTCTCTCTAGGATTAATGCCACTATAATGAAGTATCAAAATAGAACGTGTAGTTCATATCAATAAGTATCCAGTTGCCTGTTCAAATGCATTGGTTTTGTTTTTGTGTTTTTTCTTGAAAAAAACCGCTTCATTGCAATGGAGATCCTCAGAAACCGCTACCAGACTTCAGTTGATACTTCTCATTGCTCAGGGTACGGATATCAGCAAGCAGTTAGTAAGGAGAATGCTTGCTGAGCTCAACCTGCACGCTAGGGTTCGAGAAGCTCGCCTTTAGTTTTGTCATGAACACGGTGCTTGGGCAGAAGATGATTTAGCCTATGTCCTGTTTTCTGGCGAGTCCAGGTATAGCCTTTATAGTGAAGACGGACAAGTTCTAGTGTGAAAAAATAACAAGTAACCAATCAGCTGAGTGCGATATATCGAGATGAATGCAGTTCGGAGGATGGTCCATGTGTTCCGAAGGCCAACGCTCAATGTACAAACGTACATCACCGACATCGTCGAGGAATATGTGGTACCTTTTGACCCCTTTATTGCCTTTTTCCTTTTTATACAGGATAATGTTCGGCCGCATATCGAAACTGTTGTACGGGAGTAATTAGATCACATACTAGGTTAGTATCCGCACCTTGGATTAGGCCAGATCGCAGCCCGGTCTTCAATCCTGCTAAGCATCTTCGGGACCATCATAGGACGTCCATCCGTCGACAACAGAAACTTTCATGTGATCTCCAAGTACGTGAATGAGATCAGATTCAAGATTGGGTAACCACCTTATTTGTAGTATAGCTACGAGAGTACAGACCATTAATCAAGAAAAAGGAGGCAGTACTAGATACTATAGACTCAAATTTCATAATTAAAAAAGAATTGTTTTCGCTTGAAAAAGTGTAAATTTGCTTTATTTCGCATTACGATTTTTTAAAATGAATTTTCGTTGTTTTCCCCTTTATTTGCGTTTTTTTACCAGAACCAACACAAAATTGAGGTAAAAAATGATATTCTGTTGGGAAAGAAATATGAAAAAATGTCAGATTTTTATTATTTATGTTTTTTAGTTAGACTACTGACATATACAAAGAGAACTTTTGGACTAACAGAAGCTGAAATCGTTTATTTCTGAATTTAAAAAAAATTACAGTTGCATTATTTTCTCTACATAGGTAATACATAGGAAAATGTAATAGTACAGAAATTCAGTGGGCAAATAATCTAAACTACTTAAAAATCGTTAACAGCACTCTTCACCAATATCTCACACACATATACATACAATATATTATTTACTTATTAATTTTCTGAACCATCGACGAATACGAATACGTTTTCAAGAGATTCTGCTAGAAATCAAGGTCAGGGATTGGCAGGTTTATCTGAGTAGTGTGTTCATTTGGAAGGAAGGCTATCTATTTCAAGCCAAGACTAAATCCCAATGAATAGTGAAATCAGTGTGGAACATTTTAATTGTGACATAACATGCAGTACAAAATATACTTTTTTCTTCAGATGCAATAAAAAGCAGTCTACATACAGAATTACATATTAATTGATTACTAAATTTAATTTAATTCATTACAACTGAAATTGTGTTTCTTAAATGCATAATTTTTGTTAAGCACCAAATAATTCGTTTCCGAATTTTAAGCAAGGAATGAACCAAAGTTATTTTTTATCTGTGTTAATTTTTGCACATTTGTATTGTATTTTGTTGCTTGAATTTAAATTAAAATAATACAAATATTTACATATTGAACTCAAGATATAATAATAAATAAGACCACACATTACGTTGAATCCCATCCAAAAATGTAATAATACATTTCGCAGTGACCTATTTAATATTTTCCCTCCAAAATATGACATTTTTGTTTTATTATCGTTCAACATTTTTAATATTTGTAGGTGAATACAACATACCGTTAGTCTTGGTGAAGATTTTAACTGTACCAACTACTCCACTAGGAACCGAGATATAATTATTTTTAACTTTTTCTCAGTTAAAAACGAGGTCAACCATTGGCTCAGCTTACTCTCTGTGTGTCTGTACAGTTTCGTCGGTTAATAAATATTTTTGATTTACGTAGAGTAAATATTATTTATTCTGATTTCTATATGACTTTGCTAAGACGTTGGATTGAAGTAATTTATGTCAAGTCAGGACATAAAAATATCTACTTTTAATTTGAATTCTTTTTTCTTTTCTTTTGGCATACCTTTGCCAAGTGTGATAAATATAAATGTCCTCTCGTAATCAATATTGTCATAAATCAAAATCGTCTAATTTAATTAAATATATCTCTCTCTCTCTCTCTCTCTCTATATATATATATATATATATATATATATATATATATATATATATATATATATATATATAAATATTTTTCTCATAAAATTATTCAATATTAAATATTTTTCCATCCATTATAAAAAGGATCATCTTTTCTGTATAAGAATTATAGAATTTATCTAAGTGTTTTTAAATTTAAATGAACTGTATCTCGCTCGCTAAGAATGTTCATATAAAAAATTTGGGACAGCTGATTGTCGAATTCCTGACCTACAATGGTTCAGGAGCAAAATTTGAAAAACAAAGTTTATATATATATATATATATATATATATATATATGCAGACTTTTAAATTTGTATGAGCGTTAGTTTCATTATATTTAAGTGGTACAGACTGGCCCGATGAGCGATTGTGGTGAGAGAGGGGAGGTTATCCCCAGGATTTTACTTTTTACCTCGACAATTTACTCTAAGACAAAGTGGATTATCTGTAACAAAACAAGTTTAAGTAATATTTGATGTGTTAATTTTTATCTGTATTATAAAGAAGGAATTTTGATTTCAATATTCAATGGTGAATTGAATATTTAATAAAGCATCGGAAAAAAATAGTCCCTGCCTCTTTTTGTGTTCTCTTCTTGTCCGTGGATCTGGTGTATATGCTTTACTGGAGCTTTTACAGCATTAAAGCATTTTAGTTTCGTCTTAATTTATTCCCTTTTAATATTTTCGTTTTTTTTTTTTTAATTTTATTTTAACTGGAGATAGAAATTTTGGATTCAATTGAATACATAATATATCCCGGTCCCTAATTAACTTATTTGGTCATTTATATATTTATTTATGCATATATAGTACTCACGCCATGACGTGTTGTTTGCCGACCAAAGACCTCCGTTCTGGAAGAGGGTCGTTGCTGTGGTAGTACTGGCATCCGCAGCGAACACTGCTCGAGCTACTCGACCGACTGTGCATATCACACTGGCCCCCACTAGCTCTGCCGGCCTCATCATCATCAACCTCCTTGTCTGGGGGAGCTTCGCTATTTGACGCGTTTGCGGCCGAGTACACTCATTATCGTATTGAACAATTATATTGAATGATAGATACCTAGCAGTTATAGTTTTAAAATATATATATATATATTCGATTTCTTATTTGTGGAATTCAAAATTAAATTTTTCAAAGGCCTGAACAAACTGTGCAGAAAAAAACTAGAACAAAGAGATGTCCAATTTTCGTTATAGTCCGCTGAACGAATGGACATCGATCCTACTCTGTGTCGAAGTTTGCATAATAATTTTAATACCATCAATAAAACAACAATAAAAATATGTCGTACCAGTAAATAAATGATTTAATTTTTTTCAATATTTTATTGGAATTTTTATGTAGATAGCAAAATATTTGTAACCCTTTAAGAGAAGGTTGGTTTAAAAGGCCAAAGATCTATAAAGCCAACAATTGAAAAAAAAATATATAAAAAAACTTAATTGTGTGCTTTAGACCACGCGACAGAAGTTAAAAAATCAACAAGGCGAGATTAATAGCTCATTATAAAGATGATGAAATGCAGAACAATTCCCTTGCGAATAGTATGCATGTCTGACTTTTAGTTTCTGAGATATTTTAATTCATATCTTCAATAAAGCCAACTCTTGCAAAGCACATCCTCTCCTTTATGTGGTCGTATATCGCCCTCCTTTGATTCCATTCGAGCCATTACAATTCCTTAAAACCTTGCACAATTATGTTCCTTTTATAATAATATAATTATACCCGGAGATCTTAATACCAACCAGCTCTATAAATTCAAAAACAAACACTACTTGAAAAACATCTTTTTCTGCCTCAACCTTTTTATTGTTCCTTTCGCTCTTACACATCAAACCTGTTGGTCTGACACCTGGCTGATGACAACTCGTTATCATTTGGTTTTCGACATTATTTTTTCATAAAATTGGATATTTTTAAATTCGAATATATAATTATTTAACTTAGATAAGTTACTTCAGTTGAAAAATCAGTTTTATTAGTATATTGGTCGGCTTTCGCACATTCCATTCGACGACACTTCAATTGCATAGAGTTACAGACTATATTGCTGGAGCTTTAGAATAAAAACTATATGCAACTGGATTATTTTTGGATGTTGCACAGGTGTTTGATGGAGTCTAGCACCAGGGTCTTCTATTTAAACTTAAGACTATACTGCCATACACGTAGCATCTTATCCTTCAATCTTTCCTCTTCGATAGATTTTTTTCAGTCCGGCAGGGCTCGGAAATATGTTCAGTTCGTCCAATCTTGGCAGGAGTTCTCCAAGGTTCAATACTAATCCCTCTACTTTAAGTTATATACACTTACGATATACCTATTAACGATGAGATCTTGACAGCTACTTATGCAGACGACACAACAATTCTCACAAAACATCAAGACCCTACACTAACACTGCAACATTACTTACTTAAATTACAAGATTGGTTCACACTATGAAAAATTCGACTTAATCATGGCAAATCCAAACATAAAACATTCACTCTTCGAAAAAAAACCTGCCCTCCAGTTTATATTGACAACAATCAAATTCCTCAAACGGACACGGTACTTTATCTTGGCTCACCTTCGACAGAAGGATGACATGGGGCCCGCATGTTAAAATGAAACGTTAGACAGTTAACAAACGACTCAAACTACTTTTTCTCTTTCTTTAAATTCTCTTTTTTTCTAAATCTTTAAAACCAAAACTAAAACAAAAATTTAATACATATACATACTTACTTAAGCCCATTTGGACGTACTCATCACAAATATACGGCATCGATAAAAAGACCCATCTACAAAAACTTCAAACGTTCCAATCAAAAGTATTGCGACTCCTAACAAAAGCACCTCGGTACGTGATTAACAAAACTCTACATAATGACCTCCACTTTCCAACAGTTGACCAACATATAACGTCCCTTTATCAACGATTTTACACCAATTTAAATGGACATAGTAACAGACTAATAAGAGACATGGCCACAGCCGACATATCCCAGAACATGAGGAGGAGACTAAAAAGGCGTTGGATGAAAGATCTCCTTCCTTAAACAAGTAATTGGAACAAGTTAGGGAAGAGATAATGCTGAGTACTTTCCTTCCCCATGCCTGTCATGTCATCATTTCATGTATTGTCATCACATTTTCTGATTGTCAACAATAAGTTGACAGACGCAAATACATCTTTTATAGACAAAAAAAAAAGCCCAAAAAATTAGTATATTGAACAAAACGCGAAAAATTTCCCCTTCTCTCCTTTCACCATGATTTTTTTTTTTTAAATGTGGTAACACTACAATGAAAGTGTCGAGGGTATTTTACTCACATTTCGCAGTAATATTAGCTGGAAATTTCTTTTTATTGGTTGACTATTTAAGTAAGAGTACTATTGAATTAAAACAAGAATGAGAATATTTAACATCTGTCAATGTCGTCTATATGTTGTTTATCAGACAGCTGTGTAGGTGTCGTTTATCCGGAGATCGTGTGAAAGTGATCAAGTTTCGAGTCTAATTCGTTTATCCGACTGGCGGGTAGGTGTGAAACAAGCCTTATGGGATGCAGAGCCGATTTTTATTTTCTGAGATATTTTTATTAAAAACTCGTTATTATTGGGTTTTTGACACTACTTTTTCCTTTTCGCTTCCCTAACACGGCTTCGCGTTAAGATACAATTTTGAATAATAGCCCATTACAGAGAGGATAAAATGCTGAACAATTGCCTCGCTTACAGTATGCAGGTCCGATTTTTAGTTTTTGATATATTTTAATCCATACGCAAAAACACTTTAATTAGTCAAATCCAACCGACTTTACCAGAATGTTACTCATCGGAGGTCTGATGGCTCAATAATCTAATTCACTCTCCTCAAAAAAAAGTCCAAAACGCGCCTAAGGAAGTTTTCACTTCAAAAAGTTAATTTCAAGGTTTTTTTGAGAATTTTTTTATAGAGCGTTCCTCTGACGCTAAAACTAATACAGTTAGTAGTTAGCCAAACAAGACCAGTAAATGCTATCACAATCTGAAAAAAAGTGTATCAAGTTGCCAACATGTCTGCAAGTGGCAGGTTGCAACCACACTGCAAAATTTTATATGTCTTTAAAGAACCAGTCATTTAGACTTACTAAATGATAGTTCTTTATTTTAATAGAAAATAAATTTTATTCTGGGACGAGGTCCCTTAAGAATAACAATTATGAACAAAAAATAAAAACCACATCTGGCCAAAAATTACATTAATCAACATTAAAGAATATATACAATATCTTCAGTGAAAATATATTAGAAAAAAGTAAAACAATTTTGAAAAAAACTAACATTATTGAAATGAAAAGAAAAACAGAAAACAGGAGAAATAAAAACAAAACGTTATAAGCACTATGGGTTGATTCTTAAAATTAAAACTCAAACAATTTCAGAAACTATTCACCTCACTCAAAACTTGATTCATAATATTTATTTCATTGTATAACATCAAATTGGGATGTGAGAAGAAATTGGTAGAGGTGATATTTGAATGAGGGCAAGGAAGCGGCTAGGGGGATATAGATTGGGCAATAAAGGAATATTCTAATGGCTTAGTTTTATAGAAAGGGGTATTAAGGTCGGAAACACGGGATCTTGATTTCTAGAAGTGGACCACGGGTAGGAGACTGTAGATGCAGGAAAGGTGTCGAGTGTTGATCGTTTGGAATAGGAAAGATCCAAGGAAATATTGGAAGAAGGGAAGAGAGGAACTCCTAAAGGGGATGTCTCCGTTCATCACACAGCATAGGCGGATCTACGAAGGGAGTGGAACTTTTGGGCTGAAGTCCCCTCCAAAATGGTGAAATATAACCATGTTTTTTAGAAAAACATATTAAAAACTATCTCTTAAAGTATTATTGTTCGTATAATTACATTTAATAGGACTTAAAAAATCATTCAACACTATGTCATAAGGCAGTTAGTTTCATTCTTTTTTTTTTCCAAATTAATTATCGTTATATATATAAATAAAAGAAAAGATTCCAGGCTGAAGCGTCCACCATAATTAAATCCTAGATCTGCTAGTGCCACACAGCCGTAGTCACAGTGGGGAAAAATAAGAGGGGATACAAGGAGCTTGCGGATATTAGGAGTAGGTGACTGGAGCGATGAAATAGCTTAAGGGTACCTATTAATTTTCGGAAGATGCGGGCGATAAGGGGTTTCCAGGAGAGATTTTCGTCTATGGTGATTCCTTGATTCGGAATGTTAACGGTTGCTTGAGTCCGGTCGGTAAAGAAAAACTGAAACCAAAGAATAGAGCTGTTGGATACGAATAGAGATTTTAATTTAGTGCTAAGTATAGAGTGTCTAAGGATTCAAAAGCTTTGGAAAAGTCGAGAAGTATTAACACAGTTAGCATTTTTTCGTCACTCATTGGTAGCTTTTAGTAGAGCGGATTGCGTGGAGAAGCCAGGACGAAAACCAGATCGGAGAAGCTCGAGTAGTCTTGAGTTTTCAAGGAATTTAGAGATTTGGAATGGAGCGATTCTTTTCAGTTGTTTAGAAAGGTTTGAGAGAATGTAGATTGGGCGGTAGTCTTTAGGTGAAGTAGGATTGGGGATGTTTTTTAATAGGTCTGACTAATACTATTTTCCAAGCAGTAGGGAAAACTGAATTTAATTCTAATGATGAGAATTTAATTCTGGAGGTATAATTTTAACAGCTTGACGGGTGTTCCATCAAATCTGATAGAGTTTGTGTGGGATTTCATTACGGAGGAAATAAGGCCGATTAGTGAATATGAATATGAGAAGTAGAAATTATCACTGTTGATGAGGGTAACAAGGGAAACTGTTAAGAGGAGGGTGAGCTGTTGCTGGTGGAGGAAGATATAATGTAGGAATTTAATTCATCAGATGAAACCGGGTAAACCGATGGGGAAGAGGATTTACAAAGAGAGAGTATTCGGAGGGCTAGACATATTGATTTAGAATCAGTAGCAGAAGAGAGAGTTTCGTGAAAGAAGTTTGATTTTGCTTTCCCGATCGTTGTTTTTGTCAAGTTATGGAGTACCCTGTACGCTTGATAATAATCTACTAGTCGAGTTCAAGCGTCAACGAACTGCAACACATCTCTTTTACATGTCAGGAATTTCTTGACACACCCAAGGATCAGAAAAGGTAGAGGTTTAAATAGGAGCATGAATGTCAAGGTCATGGATAAGATTAGAAGTGATGATGTCTACCATATGATCAATAGAGGTGCAGGAATAAATATCGTTCCAATTTAGGGTTTTAAGGTCAGAGAGGATTTTATCACGGGTGAGAGTGTCAAGGTTGCGGAAAATTATGGTTTTAGGAAGAAACGTGGGAATTAGGATATTGTATGATAATTGGATGACATAATGAGAAGAAAGGAAAGAAACGGGTAATTAACAGCAGGACAAGAGTTTATACTCTAGATCGATGATATGTAGGACCAGCCAAGTGTCAGACCAATGGATAAAGGTATAATCAGGTAAGGAAACGGAGGAGAAGTTGATTGAGCCATGTTTCAGAGACTGCAATAATGTGGTAAAAATTACAGGTGACATATTGGAGAAATTCGTCATAGTGAGCAGGAAGGGATTGTTTCAAGTTGAAAAGTCTTTTTTTACTTTTCTTCTTTTTCACCAGCTCGTCCCGTACTGCTTCTCTCACGATGCGAGATGGCACTATCACAACTAGAGCACTGAACCATTTTCGTAATAATATAATAACATTTAATCACGCTAGAAGACTGTTTGTCAATAGAGTCGTGTTTTTGGCCCTTAATACTCAGAAACTTAGGAGGATTAATTTTGCTTCTTCGATCCACAGCCTAATTTTAAACAAAATTTATGTTATTCATTGTTGCCTTTGGTTACACGGAATTTAAGGTATTTAATTTAAGGAAAAAAAATACTGTCTATGACATTAAATGAAGCCTCTAAAACGCTGAATTACTGGTCTTCCAACTCACATTGATAACGTTTAGATTTCACTCCTTTTAAACTGGAAATTAAGAAAAACGTCAACGGCAGATATTTTTATTACATATATTTTATTTTCTAATTTGTTTCTGGAGGTGGGATTTATACTATTTCATGTAGTATATAGAGACTTAAATCCTTTTTAATTTTTGTGTGATTGCGCGCAGTTGTTCTAAAGTTATCACAATTTTCGTGATCCTCCACAAAATTGTGAAGTAAAAAAATTCGTGAAGAAAATTTCAATTTTTGATTGATATAAAAATTTGTATTTAAGGGTTTTATGATATCAACTATGTTTCTCACTAAAAAAATATTGCTACATCCAACATTGCTACGTCGCTGAGTGGATCGAAAGTATCGTTTTGGAGAATATTTTCATAAAAGGCTTCTTACAGTAAAGCTAAAAATTCGGTGCAAGAGAGTATATATATATATTTATATATATATATATATATATATATATATATATATAATCTTTTTTTTTCTCTTCTTTTTTCGGTTGGCACTACAGACCATGAAGATCTTTAGCTGCGAGATGTGGTCTCCTTACAGACATATGTTGCTTGCGGGAGATCAGCCTGAAGGAGGTCACCCGACCTCACGTTGCTACGAACCATGGTCTCCATAGTGCAGCGGCTGGCCACCCGTAGCTCCATAGCCGTTCTCTTTGGGGCCAATCTGACAGTGTCCTTCCCACCGACTTACTCGGGTTCAAGGACAGTAACATCTATCGGTCTATATCCATGGAGTATGGCTGCTTGGAGTCAGCAGGCCCACGAGGATCTATATTTCTTTACCCAAAACAGACCGATTCTAAGAGAGGCTAGTAACATCCTGGTTGCGGGGTGGCCGAGCGGGCTGACGCGTGTGCACAGTTGCCCGGTAACCTGATAACCAAGTTACAAACGACAAAATAATTACGAGTTAGCGTCCCGGTGAAGGGGTTTTTTAACTCTATCCCCGCCCTTATCTCTTGGTCCGGGAAAACCCCCATATAGTCTAAAAATCGAGGAAAGGGAGACAAGAAAATTACTCTTATTCTTTCATTCATTCATGTGTGGCACGACATCCCGTTACCGAGACTGGGCCTCCTCCAAGAGCCTCCGCCAGTTGGCTCTGTCTTCTGCTGCAGCTCTCCAGTTCCGTACACCAAGCAGGGTTCTCGCATCATAGGCCACGTTGTCCAACCACCTCGTCCTCGGCCTTCCTACCCGTCTTGCGAGGTGCAGCTCCTCCATCATTATTTTCTTGGGTATCTCAACGGTGCTCATTCTGGTCACATGCCCTGCCCATCTTAGTCTGGCCAGTTTAATATAGGTGACTACGTCGATGTCCGCATAGAGAGAACTGAGCTCCCTATTTTTTCTTTTCCTCCAGACATCACCCTCCTTTACTGGACCATAAATCCTTCTGAGGACTCCTCGCTCAAACACACTCAGCTTCATCTCATCGTTTTTGGTCATCGTCCAAGCCTCTGAGCCATACGTCAAAACAGGCCGAACAAGAGTCTTGTATATGATCAGCTTGGTCTTCTTTGAGAGGTACCTACTTCTTAAGTGTCGGCCAAGTCCATAGACACATCTATTGGCAGCCGTGATTCTTCTTTGTATTTCTTGAGCCATGTCATTTTTGCTATTAATTTCAGACCCAAGGTATATAAAACTTTTCACTCTCTCAAACTTAAAAGAACCTACCTCAAATGGAGAGTTCAGATCCACCTCACCACCAACTCTCATATACTTAGTTTTCCTCTCGTTGACTTCTAGACCAAGTGGTCTTGCAGCTGCTTCAAGGCCTATAAACGCTTCTCTGAGAGCCTGTTCAGACCTACCTATTATGTCAACTCTTATTCTTTACGAGAATAAAAACTGAAATTACTATAGTTAATAAAATAAGAGAATAAAATAAAATTTGGAAATGAACTAGAGGTGTATTGCATTTATGTTTATAACTATAGTGGCAGTTGTGAAGTCAACTCAAGTCCTCCGTTATTCTGTTTAGGCTTGGTAACGCATATTTGTCGATAGCTTGAAAGTATTTACAAAAAATCACTCCACAAATGTGTAATTTTTGCTACCATTTCCTAGCAATGATTGACTTTTTTTTTTTTTTTGTAATAAGCAATATATATCAATATTTAACTATTGTCATTAACAATCTAATAATGTAGTTTAATAATATATTGAGTCAATATATAGATTAAATGAGAGCTCTCTGTCCAAAAAAATTCATTTTCGTATAACTATTGTAAAATAATTTATAAATTAGAAATGCAATATGTACAATATGCAATATGCAATCGTTGAAATTATATATATGTATATATATATATAATTTCAACGATATATGTAATTATATATATATATTTATATATATATATATATATATATATATTTATACATATCTACTGAATATTTTGTAGATATCTTGCTATTTTATAACATATGTACTCTTTAAGAACTTATTGGTAGTTGATAGATAATAAAACTATTGTTATTTATATACACACTATTTATTGTATATATATATATACAATTAGATGACATGAAGGGGACAACATACCTAGAAGAGACGTGCCAAAGTAGGACCCGAAGACTGGTTTGAAAACAGCTGGCAGAGGCATATATAGCACGCTGGGCGACAGAGGGCGTAGACCCGTGGGGATAAAATGTAGTGATCTAGTGATGTCACTATTTCTAGGAGGATTACTAACATACCTCAACCGAAATAAATTTGCCACGGTAATTTAGCCTAGAAATGTCACGGCACATGTCCGTTCTTCAGAGATGGAATATTATGTATATTAGATTCGTGATCTAAAGCAAAATGATAGTTATATAAGTACCTAAATATTTTAAGATTTATCGAAATTTTAAACTGATCCAAAACTGGATAATCAAAAATATTAGTTCAGGAATGAAAGAAGTATGAACAGGAATAGGTTCTTCTTAGTAATAATATATTGCAAATCGGTGGTTAAAACAGATTTACAACTCCGGATTTTTTGTAAACATACTTTAATTATTATCGTGTACGATTCGAAAACTACTACTCTTCGATTGTGGCAATATTGAACAACATTCAAAATAATGATTATGACTGAACCCATAACGTGCAAATGATTGCTTTTATAACTAAAAAGGAAGGATTCTGAATTTTGTTTTTTATTTGCGTTTTTCTACAACTTAAGGAGTAATATCCCCAACATCCAAAAGCCACTGCTCCCTGTCCATCCAATCTCCTTCACGGAGGCCTCTGGCTACCATGCTTTCCTCCACGTCTTCTATCCATTTCTTCTTTGGCCTTCCACGCTTCCTTCTTTCAGGAGGCATATAGTTATAAATTTTCTTTGGCCAGCGGTTCTCATCCATCCGCATTAAGTGGCCATACAACTTTAACCTTTTGGTCTCGATCAGGTGAAGGATGGTCTTTTAACATTGTTGTCTCTAATTGTTGCGTTGGGGATCAGGTTGATTCTAGATATGCCACAGCTTCTTCTCCAGAAATCCATTTCCATGGAAAGCAACCTATTTTCCGCCTTTTTTGTAATCGTCCAAACTTCTGATCCGTAAGCTAATCTACGTTTTCTACAAAGGAATGGTATATCTTCTTTTTAGTTTCCAATCTTATTTCTTTACTTCATAGGGTTGAATTTATCGAAGTTATTATTGTTTTCCCATTGTTTATTTTATGTTTAATGTCAACCTCACTACCTCCCTTTGAAGATAGCCAATATCCAAGGTACTTGAACTGTTGGCTGACATTGAGCGTCCAGTCATCAATTTCAAGGAGCAAATTTGGAGCGTTGAAAATTGTGTACTCTGTTTTATTTTTACTGAATTACGGATCTAATTTAAATATTGAAATAAATTATATTCAGAAATACGGACTGAGCTCTGAGATTCAACGTAATGATAATATCAGCTTTATTACACATTTTTAGTAGAACATAGAGCCTTTCCTGTTTAAGTAAGAGACTGATTTTAACAAAAAGTATAAGAATCAACTTTCTTCCTTCAGAAATATTTAAACTTATTAAAAGAGAATTAAATTTAAATAACATTAATACAAAGTTCTTAATTTAATTGGTATTTATTATTTTATTTCAAATGTTTCTATTTCTTGTCACTGTTGCCCGACCGTCAGTCACCGTCACTCGGCAGTTGGATTTGAAATATCTATAGACCATTTTTTCATCGATATTATAAACATTTTCGAAATATAAATATAAATTTAAGCATTGATTCTCTAGCACATAGGCGCATAAAAAAATGTGTTATTTTCCTCTTTAAAATAATTAATGACAATATCTCATCTGATTATGTTGAGTTGATATATTCGTTTTAGCTAGTAGGGGAGGAGAGACAAAAAAAAAAATGAATCATGTAAACTTAAGAATCACTTGGCAAGACCAAGAATGGTAAAAAAAATCGTTTTGTGAATACAGATAGGCAAAATAGAAAAAGAAAAAAAAAGATTTCCTTTAAAAGTGTTATATCTAATAGATTAAGGAGTATTTAGTAAGATTTGACGAGTTGTATTTCTTTTTAATTTGCTTAATTTTGTATTAAATTAAGAATAGCTGACCGACGGATAAGAAGAAAAAAAATGCAATGATACCTCCCTAACTACACAGGAGTATCTTATTACGGGTGGTTCACATTCAAATGATTTTAAAGTTGTCTTCGTATCTTATTAATTTTATTCTTGCTTTTTTTCGGTTAATATCAGTGACGCGCTGGGATCTGGTGAAACCTCATTTTTCCCTCCAAAGGTGGTACAATCCATACTCTTAGTTCCCCTAGCTGATTTGAATGGAGCATATAAATATGTCTGTGGCCAACTTCATTTTCTTTGTGCCAGTTTATTTTTCTCTTACTTTTATGCAATACATAACTATTTTTTAATTTATTTAATATTTTCGGTAAATATATATGGTGTGAATCTGTTCTTTTATTGCTGCTTTTTAATTATAATTGTCCTTAATTGAGACAGATTGTGATATTTTTCAATAAGAGAGATTTGAAGAAAAAAATTTTCTTGTTATACGCCCTTAGCGTTTTTCATTTTAAAAATCAAAGTCCAAATTCTTGCGAACGTTCATGTTCTTTTCTGGAACGTCTGTGTGCCTTTAGAATGAAAAGTTTTTTGCTGCAATAGGAAAGAACTGAAAGCAAAATACTAAATGGTAGAAATAAATCTCTGTTTTAACTGAGTAAACTCTACATAAAGCTGCTATATATAAAGAATGACTTGGAATACTGTAAATAGCAGTCTCGCAAGATAACTCTCAACCCACAACTGAGGTGTTCACGTGTTAATTAATCCTACCTGTAATCACTGTAGTAAAAACATAATTTATTATTAGAAAGAAATCATTTTTATTTTGCAAAATTACAACCTCATTAAAATAAATCATGTAAGTAAATTTATGTCGCTCCTAGTTTAAACTGTAAATAATATATGGCAGTGGAAGACGGCATACTGTTGGAATCATCACACAAAATCGTAAACTTAAATAAGGTACAAGGCCAGAACTATTGGCATTATAACTCTAATACCTACGTAATTAAAGTATATTGGTATTAATTAATTTAAAATTAACGCAATCCGCCATGAATACAACTAAATTATAGAAACTATAGAAATGAGAAATTGCATGGATTATGTAGATCATAAAGAACATTTTTTTTTTTTAATTACTTCTTATGACTTATAATTGTAAACTTCAATTATCATATATTTTAACTTACAATTAGTTTTGTTTCAATTCGACAAAGCGTGTTGTAATAACCTAAAATATTTAAAATTATATAGCCAGCACCGAAAAACCTTAAAAAATCATCTGTTTCGTTTATTTCATTTATTATATTAATTAGATATGGGGTTTCCACGTTATTCCGCATTTTAATCGGTTTAATCAGATTTCGATTTATTAATATCATAAGTTAAATAAAATACTTGCTTTTTGTATCTTTTTAAGTGTTAATTACACAATTTAAAATATTTTGAGTTTTTACTACTTTCATTTATTAATTTCCGCGTTTTAAGTTTTTTACTGCATGTTTTCGGATTTTTACATCTCGAAATCCGGTCTCTATTTATCACATTATAAATTTTGTAAAATAAAAAAAAATTAAAATACAGGCTTAACAATAGCGAATATGAGTACTCTATAAAAGTATACAGTATCAATTGCCTACTTCATCTGTAAAACAAAAATATTTCTAACAAAAGAAAAAATAAGAAGAAATTAAAATTCATAGTTTAAAGATCCCCTATTATGCTGATGTTGAATCATCACACAAATCTTCTAAATATTTTCACAAAAATTAAACAAACAATTATGCATAACTGTGGATTGATAGCTGACAGTAGTGAAGACTTGAAGAGAAGATTGGTTGTTGTGTTCAGTCAAAATCTTTCGTTCATGGTGAGAGAGGGGCGGGAGGGGGGGGGGTATTTTTCGTCTGACCAGCCCTGATGAAGGCTTGAACTTTCGTCCGAAATGTCGCCAAAAATATAAATGTAATTTATTTACTTTTAACCTTTTTTGTCTGAAAATCTTAACCAATCTTCTCTTCAAAACATGATACTATTCAACATCCGCAGACTAAAACAAACAAATAATCATTTGTACGTACTGCTGAGTAACTAACAACAAATTCCTGATCAGGGATAGCTTTTGAATTCAGTTTCATTCTAAAATTGAATGCGTGCAGAAAAATAAATATTAAAAAAAATTGCCATTTGGCGAAGTTCCAGCCTGATTACTTCCGGCAAGAACAGTGCTGCCAACTGTAGTTTACTGTAGCTAGCTCTAGCGGTCGAGAGTGGAACTCAAAGCTTCACTAATCTGTTCAGAGATAGCACTAACCACACTCCGGTCGGTATACATTATTTTTATTATTTTTTTTTTTTTTTAGCTTTAATGTTTTATTCACACCTGTCATAATGCTAATGACAACCAGTGAATGTGAGATCGATTGATTAATAGAATTGTCATGAAAGGCATGAGGAGGATCAGTGACCAGCGGCACCTCACTCGGCGTGATATCCACATTAGGCGAGGAGGTCCCTCATCCAGCTCCTCTTCAGTCTCCTACAGACGTTACCGGGCATATTCGTAGTGGCCATGTCATTTATAAGTGTATTAGTATGTCCTTGTAAGTTGTCATGGAATCGTTTGTAATGAATACGTATGTGTTCGTTAACAGTCGGCATATGGAGGTCAGTATGTAAGGTTATGTTGCTAACGTACCAAGGTGCTTTTGTAATTGTTCTGAATGTTTTTGCTTGAAAGATTTGAAGTTTGTTTAAGTGAGTCTTTTTAGCAGTTCCAAATATCTGTGATGCGTAAGTCCAAATAGGTTTTAGTAAGTAATTGTATGTGTTCAATTTCTGTCTAAGTTTTAGTTTTGAATTTTTTGAAAGAAGTGAACTCAGAATTCTTAATCTTTGATTTAAAGTTTTTCGTTTTTTGATTATATGTGGGCCCCACGTCATTTTTCTGTCAAATGTCAGACCAAGGTAGTGAACGGTGTCTGTCTGTGGAATCTGTGTATCGTCAAGGAAAACTGGAGGGCATGTTTCATGTCGAAGCGTAAATGTGATGTGCTGTGATTTGTCTTGATTTAGTCGGATTTTCCAAATTTTGAACCAGTCATGTAATCTTGTTAAATACTGTTGTAGGGTCTGTGAGGCGTATGTTGGATTTTTGTGTCTTGCTAAAATTGCTGTGTCGTCTGCATATGTCGCTGTTAAAATGTTGGGACTACAAGGTATGTCATGGGTGTATGTGATATAGAGTAGTGGAGCGAGTACTGAACCTTGAGGTACTCCTGCTGAGATAGACCTGATGGAAGATAGTTCTGACCCGTGTCGGACCGAGAAAAATCTATCGGAAAGGAAGGATTGTAGAATTAGATAATATGTAGGTGGGAGTATTGTCTTGAGTTTAAAGAGAAGACCCTGGTGCCAAACTCTGTCAAACGCTTGAGCAACATCCAGAAATACGCCAGTTGCATATACTTTCTGCTCTAGTGCTGTAGATATGTAGTCCGTTACTCTATGTAGTTGGTGTATAGTTGAGTGATGTGCCCTAAATCCAAATTGATGGTCAGGTATTATTTGGGTGTTTGTTAGTATATCAACAAGTCTTTTGTTCAGTAAGCTTTCAAAAATTTTGGAACAGATAGGTAGTAAGCTGATTGGTCGGTATGAGGAAGGTGAGTTTTTGTCCTTTTTAGGCTTGTGAATCATTATTATATGTGAGTATTTCCACTGTAGGGGAAATTTAGTTGTCCTCAGTATTGCATTATAAATAGTTGTCAAAAGCACTAGAGCTTTTCTAGGCATTTGTTGGAGCACTTCAGCGTTAATCAAGTCATGTCCAGGAGCTTTTCTTTTAGGCAACTTTTTGATTTGTTCAGCAATCTGTGAAGGTGTGAATGAAATAGGAGGTGAAGTTAGTTGTAAGGGCATGTCTAAAGTGTTTAGTACGTTGTTATCGTGCACAGTGTTAGTGAAGTCTGTGTGTGGTACAAAAACAGAAGAAAGATATTCGGCAAAGAGTTCTGATTTTTCTCCGTCCGTCACGGCCCAGGAATCATCTTGTCTTCGAAGGGGTGCTGACACTTCACGATGCTTAATAAGGTTTTTGGTATGTCTCCACAAGCTTCCATCGTCGGTTGAGAGATTTCTGATGTAGTTGTCATAGGTTGTTCGTTTGAATTTTCCAATCTGTCGCTTGAGTTCATTATTAAGTCTGTTGTAAGTTCGTTTATCTGATGGGAGTCTGTCAGTCTGCCATATTTTGCGAGCTCTCCTCTTCGCTCTGATCAAGTCCCTTATGTATTGTGGGTACATTGGTAGGAACTCATATTTTTGAGGTTTTGCTACTGATGAAGACCATGCTGCTTCTTGGATATTTCGTGTGAAGTATTCAACGGCATCCTCAAGTTCTTCTTCGTTTTTAATGGATAGAGGAACAGAGAGAGCAGTGTCCAATTGGTTCCTGTACCTGTCCCAATCCATTATGCCATTGATCAGGGACAGTTTTTTTGTAGCTTCACAAGGCTCTTCAAACAATACCAAATGCAAAAGGGAATGATCAGAGCAAAGATCTGAACTCGTTGTTATAGTGTGAGGTGTTGTTCGGAGTCCTTTAGTTATGAAAAAGTCGAGTAAGTCTGGTGTTTTCCGTCTAGAAGTTGGCCAGTACGTGGGTGAATTAGGTGATATTGTGTCTAATGAAAGCTCATAAAGAACATACCTAAGATTCCTTCCTCTTGGAGTAGATAGTCTGGATCCCCAGAACTGATCTTTGGCGTTGTAGTCGCCTCCTGCAACAAAGCATCTACCAAGACGTTTAAAGAAATTACTAAACATCATGGGTGTCAGAACATACCTCGGAGGGCAATAAACCGCAGCAAGAGTAATGTTTTGTTGTTGTGTTGATAGTGTAATGGCTGTAGCTTGAATCTCTGGTGTTATGGGTAATTGTAAAGGATTATGTTTTAGAGTTGTTTTGATAATTATGGCAGTGCCTCCATGTGAAGTTCCATCTGGGTGGTCAGTTCTGTAGATTTTGTAACCACGGATGTAAAATTTAGAATGTGGTGTCAGATGTGTTTCTGTTATTAGTGCAATGTCAATGCGTTTCTCGTGTAAGTATATGTCTAGTTCGGTTCTATGTTGATTCAGTCCGTTTGCGTTCCATAGTATAATAGACATGGAGCCCACAGTCGTCTGATTACGGGGCATATTTTTGGGTAAGAGCGAGAGTAGCCTGAGATAGCTGTTGTAGAAGACTGAAGAGGGGCTGTATGAGGTTATTGAGACCGCTAATCAAATGTATGATATCACCTGAGGAGGTTTCAATAGTAGGGAGCGTTTGGGCAATGCCCCTACTCATACCTTTAGGCCTTTGTTCTTGGTTTGTTGCCGGTGCTGGTTTTCGTTGCTGTCTCTGCTGCTGTTGTTCTGGTCCTGAGGGAATCGGATGAGGGTATTGAGGCTGATGCAGTGGTGGGAACTCGTGTAGTTCTGGTGGTGGGGGTTGAACTCTAGGAGGCCTTTGCAGAGTATGGTTTCTTGTGCGGGTCTTCCTAAGCTCTTTCAGAGTTTCGCAACCTCTGTAGTTAGCAGGATGTGGTCCTTGGCAGTTCGCACATTTTGCGACTGTTTCTCGAGTCTTTGTACAGGAAGTGCTTTCGTGACCCATACCACACCTTACACACCTCGGCTGGTGGTTGCAGTACGTCTTGGTATGGCCATACTGCTGACAACGTACGCACTGCGGAATGATCCTTTTTTTCCTTGGCTCTTCGATCTTCACGTGTGTGTAATACAGGAATTCAATGTCGAAAATTTTATCATTGAACGTTGCTTTTGACACATCAACGAAAAACATTGGCAACGGTGTTTTGAATCTTGATATAACATTTACGATGTTGGTTGCCTCGTAACCATAGTTGGCAAGTTCCTGTTTTATGGTCGCTGGAGGTGTGGCGTGGTGTAAATTTTTAATAACTATTCGAGGCGTTTTATCTTCCGGGAGTTGATATGTGTGAAAATCAGCTCCACCCCTTCTAAGACTGGTCACTAACCTACGGTATATTTCTGCGTTTTCTGGATACACGCTGACTCCTCTCATAGACGTTTTCAACCTGAAACTGTTAGGGCCACCTTCATTGTGAAGATAGGTTACTAATGCCGTGTAGTCTTTCACATCGTTTATGTGAATAGGTGGAGGTCTAATAATAATGGGATTATTATTTGCTGGCTGTCTATCTTCCGGAGTATTTGATAAAACTTCGAATCGATTGTTAGTAATAATAGTATCACTAACCTTTATTTGTTTATGACGTGGATCTCTGTCTGAAGCTACATGTCGTTTTCGTCCAGACACAACTTCCCAGGACATAGCTTCTGGTGCATTATCGTGGTTGACTTCAGTTGGTGAATCGTTTGAAGCCGAAGTTTCCGTCATTTTTAGCGGAAGAATCCGCTACACCAGTAATTTTACTTCAATTGATTGCACTTATTTAACTCACGAATATGGAAGAGATAAAGGAAATCAACATGCAGTTAATTGACTTAAACTTGTGATAATTCAATAGAATTTGGAGAGAGAAATAAATTACCCATTATTTTTATATCGCGATAAAGTTGGGAAAAACTTTTTATAAGGAGTTAAAAGATTCGAACTTCTTAAGTTGTTAGGTTTTTAGAATCTATTTATTAAATTAAATTAATTATAATTAGTGGACTTGAATTAACAACTTTAAAATTCCAAAATATTTCTTATAGCTTTTTATTTATTTAATTAACTATAGGTTGTTTTTTTTTTATTATTTAGTAAAGAACGTTTTGATAGCTGAGAGACCAAATGATTGTGTTGGATAAATTAAAAAATAAATAATGTGGAACCTTTTAGTATTAAACTAGTCATTTATTTTTGTCAATGTAAAATTGCAATATGTTGATTTCTAAATATTTCATATCTTGAACTAAATAAAATCCATGTCATAGGATTAGATAAAGTAATTAATTAGTGTCATCGATATATTCAAAAACATCGATTTTTACAAGGTATCGATTTTGTTGATTTAGAAATCATAATTCGTTTACAATTACTGGTAGTAGTAAACATTTTCTTAACAGCAGCATTTTTTTCCGCAAAGGTTATTTTATTGTAGACAGTTTTATTGTATGCACACGTATTGCGGTATAACCAATAAGTCTCTTAATAGTACAGAAATATAATATGTCCTTTGTTTAGCTATTTCTATAAGTTTGACAGATTAAATGAAAATATATTATAAGTGATATTGTAAAGTAATATAATATTATCTAATGTATAAATTTATCTCGGCAAAGTATAAGAAAATATAATCAGTGGTTTTCATATAATCGATGGTTAATCACTTGTTCATACCCATTTCGACACATGACTACAATAGAAGACAGAAGATATAACTGGCAGTGATTTGCATACATGATGGATTGCATATTTTGAAATATGTTAAATAGTGACTTACTGTTCCTTGAGCCACTGGTCCTCACTGTAGGGTGCCTTGAAGAGGTGGGTCCACGGATAATGGCCCCTTTCTCTACTGCGGCGGATCTCCTCCCAGAGGTAGGTCGGGGGCGGGTGGGGCGGGGGCGGTTCGCTCTGTGCTCGGTCACCGGCCATCATCGGCCGCATCGCCAGGGTGTCAGCCATGTCCTAACTCTCTCCTCCTCTCTGGAAAGAAATTATATCAAATATCTATAATAAGAAATTAAACTTAAAATTAGGGGCCTATGGTTATAATTAATATAGAACGTGTCCCGTAAGTAGGGGAAAATATTTAATCGGATGATAGTAGAAGTCCGTATAAACAATGGTTCGATGTTCTGCAGGTAAGTGAACATTTTTTTTTTAACTATTACCTATTTATTCAAAATATTTACAACTGCATTGCAATATAAATACATGAAGTAAATGTGTGCACAGGAATATAATCACATGAAAACGCTTGTAGTGAAACTATTCACTGGAAACTATATCTACCATCTTCTTTTCAGACCCCTCGGAGGGTTATCAGGAATCGAAGAGGAAGCACGGTTTGAAACGAGAGGATTCGGATGGTTATGAAGTTTCTTAGAAATAGAAAATAGAAATAGAAAATAACTTTATTCTGGGACAAAGTCCCTTTAGAATAACAAAATAGAACATAATTAAAATACTACATCTAGCCAAAATAAAACAATTATAAAAAAGAGAAAGTAAAGAAAATATTAATCAAACAAGCTATATACAAAAAAAAAATCTATATACAAAACACTTAAAACTATGATAAAACACTTAAGACTATGTACAGTAGGAAAAATTATAATTATACTCTTTTGAAAAATAAAATAATAAACGTACATTGAGTTCTTCTTTAAAATGAGGTGTGTTTCTGCTAACAAAGTAAAGACAAACCTGACAATATAAAATATCAGTGTATTTAAATAATGATTAATATGTAGACTCATCATTGTCAAATGCTAGCTATAGGTACAGATTTAATTATATACGAATAAAAAACAATAAAAAAACAAAAAAAAAACAATAGATGTGGTCAGTGGCATTAAGAGCAGGAAGATATTGTAATATCCCTAGTGAAGATCACAGTATAGAATAGTACTATCGTATGATGATGACTAGAAATGTATAATATCGAAAGTTTAGCAAGTATCTGACTGTTTTTGTGATAGGAATTGGAATAGGAGGGATTTGAATGTGGATATGGAGGGGGAATGTCGAATTTTGATAGGTAGAGAATTCCAGAAATTGACAGCGCGAGCTATAAAGGAATTTTGAAATGAGGCAGATCTGTGAGAAGGGATGTAGAGGTCAGAAGGTCGAGATCTTGTTGAAAGGGAATGGACTGAGGACTTGAATTGGAGAAGGTTGTAGGCGTAAGAAGGACGATGGCTGTTGATGATTTGATAGAGGAACGTACCAAGGAAATATTGTCTTCTAAAGGAGGGGAAGAGCCACCTTAACTCAGTGTAGTGGTGAGAGACATGGAAGGATAGGTATCTGGATGGGGCAAATCGGAAACATAAGGAACATTAAGGTCATTATGGATTATTTTATTTGTGACAAAGTAAGGAGCATTGAGAATTTTACGAAGGATTTTGGATTGTAAGGATTGGATACGAGAGGAATTTGATGGATTAGTAGAGTCCCATAGCTCAACTCCGTAAGTCCAAATAGGTCTTATTATAGTCATGTATATGAGTATTTTGTAGTTAATTGAAAGTTTAAAGCGTTTATCTAGTAATTGTTGGAGTAATCGGAAAAGTCGAGCAGTTTCTTGACGTTTCAGTCTTGTATAAGGAATCCAAGTGAAACGTTTGTCCAGGTGGAGTCCTAGATATCGGATTTGTTCAACAGTGATAAGTGGGGTGTTATTAAAGGATACTATAGGACAGGAAATCATAGATTTACGACAAATGAAAAATTTAAATTTTGTATTTAAGTGTTTTTTTAATTCAGTCAAAAAATATTAAATTTAAGTAATTAACAATTACTTCATTGTAAAAAAGAAAATACTTAAAACGAAAATATAGTTTCTCATTTTCAAAATGGCTTATAATACTGGACTACAACGCAAATGATTCGGGCCCAAAAAAAGTCAATTCATATGTATTTCCATCTGCTGAATTCAAAAATCACTATAAAATAACAGATTAGCTATTGCTTTCGAGATAAAGTGGCATTTTGTTTTTTATAGTCAACATTATCAACTTCTTTGGGAGTTCATTCACCTGTCAAATAACCAAACACAAATACTCTTCAGCTGTAAGTTATAAACATAGTTACTGTAGCTGTACTGTGAGTTTCATACAGTTTCTGCTGTAATTTCTGGTTTGAGAGTGCTTTTTTAGTGTAAAATTCGTAAAATAGCTACGAAAATGAGTAAATATGGTAAATAATTTTTGTGGTGAGGTAACACTTTTCTCACAGAAACGCAATATGAAGCCTCTTTTAAAGACTACCTGTCAGCATTATTTCGGTATGAAAGTAAGGGAACCAAGAAGAAGAAGAACTTGGGCTCCACATTTATGTCGTAACGCATGTTCAGTTACACTGCGACAATGGATGAGAAAGAAGAAACAATCTATGGCTTTCGCTATGATTCGTTTGGCAGGAGCCTACAAACCATACAGATGACTGCTGTTTCTGTTTGACTCCACATATAAAGGCAGGATTGTCTATGAAGAAAAGAACAGTTCACTACCCGAATATTCAATCTGCTATTCGACCCATTCTGCATTCAGACAGTTAAACAGTTCCAACTCCACCCGAAAATTGTGTGTTTGAAGTAGAAAATGAAGATAGTGTGGAACAAGAAGAAGAACCAAATAAGCCTTCCACATCCTGTGACCCAGATTTTAAGGGAAAAGATGATAAATCCCACAGACTGAGTCAAGCGGGATTGAGTGATCTCATTAGACAACTTTAAAATCCATTTTCTCCACTCCCACCTAGAGACTTCAGGTTGTGGAGCTGTTAGCGATGAACATGGAGAAAGATTACATCAGGACATTTCTATTATGGAACAAAGATATTAAGGCCACTGGAATGAAACGATGCTTGCGGATTACTGTTGGTCTCTGTGTTGGAATGCTTCGGAACTATCTTAGAAGAGGCAATCGAAAAGGCGACAATCTCATGAAGCCTCTAAATAATCTCTTTAGACACGACTATCTGCGAGGTATTCTTCCAGCAATTTATAACTCTTAGAATGTAATTACCATTTTGAAAAATCAAAAGTACCTTCAATGTTGTTAGCATATATAATTAAAATGTATCTTTTTTCCTTAACCCGTTAATATGATATAGTTCCACCTAGTGTATATCATAGAAACTAGAGCTAAGAAATTTTGTTCATTGTCAGTTGATGTACCGAAAACATTCAAAAATTTGTTTTTTGTTGCCAATCATTTGAGCGGCTAAATTCTATAAGCTAAGTTCTGTTTTAGCTTATAGATTTATAATAGTTTTTAAAGAAATTATAAATTATTACCTTTTTTTACCATTCTCCAAATATCCAATCAGTTACTCCAGTTTTAGAAAAAAATGCTAGTTTAATAAGTTTTAAACCATATTAATAAATATGAGCTTTATACAGGCAAACTTGAAATTCACTTGAAGATGTGTAAAAAAATTATGTAATCTTACATCCCGTCACTTAAAAAAGTTTTCAGAAAAAATTACTACAACAAAATTGTATTAATTTCTTGTTTTGCAATGATCTGGGGTGTATTAAAATAAACGAAATCGCTACGATTCATCTGTCAGAATTTTCACTGTATTACAATAAAGTAGGTTTAACATTTAAGGGCCATAAATCTGGTTTGGAAATTCTACAAGACCTAAGAATATAAAAATTAGCTCTTCACAATAAAAAACAAAACAAATAAATAAAATAAATTAAAAAAAAAACGCTTTATGATCAATACAGTAAAATTCTGAGTTGTATTACATATGAGAGAATGAGAATGAAAAAGAGGAGGAGAATTTGTATGATTTTAAATTGTGTAATTGCGTGACCTACATTCGGTAAATAATAATAATATCAACAATTATACCATCAGAGTAAATATAATTAATATGATAGAATTATAAATGTCCTTTGAGACAGACAGTAATCTTTTCAATAAACATAAACAAAATTTAAAATATGATAGTACCATGCGTGAAGTTATTAGCGTGGATAACATATGAACTAGTATCAGAATTGCAGATCGTTTTACTGTATTTAGTTTTAAAGATTATTTATTGGTGAATATTGTGTTTTTTATTGTCAATCAAGAATTCATATCATCAATAACTGATTAGCCAAATATGTGGGCCGGTTTCAAAATTATCGAAACTTCGTCTGTCAAAATAAATAGAACAAAACATTGTAATATTACCGTAACACTAATTCCAATGAATATTAACATGACATGTTTCAGACTAATACGGTTATCACCAATTAACCAACAGGTAAACTAAGGAGGTAAATCCAAAATGTTGATGAGATGATTGATTCAGTTGACCTAAAAACAGATAATGGTGGAAAATAGTTTTTGTGTAATTAGATTGTGTAAGAAACCTTGAAAAAATATTTAAATATTGAGTAATCCAATGTGAAGAAACTGGAATAATGTCACTTTTACGTATAAACACAATGAGAAAGGAAGGGGGGACTAAAAATTCCCCGAATTTATAATCATTTTTCTTCTCGGTGTCATTTTGTCAAAATTCGATTATTATTCAAACTGATTTTTCTGTAAGTAAGTAAAATCTTTCCTATTTAAATATATATCTTGACGTTTCGGTCTTTTTGGCCACCTTCATGGTAATTTTTTTTGACAGTTACGTTTTCCTTATCACAATAAATTTGTAAATTTTCACTTCTTGTCACAAAAACTTAATAATATATTAATTTATTTAGCCGTTTTATTAAAATTTACTCAAAATGTATATGTATACACTATAAAGTGTAGCTTGATCATGTTTCAATTGTCACACTGAAACTATTTGTCTGGGTTTCGAAACGTTGACCATGCAGAGTAATACATAAAAATTTATTTTATTAAATTAAATCTAACGAGGTTACTTTACTCAAAATTTACTGGATAACCTTTCCTAATCAAATATATGGAGTTAACCTATTTTAAAAATAAGAGACTTATTTA